ATTACATTACATAAAGCTGGGTAAGAAACATACTGAACCCAATGATGAGATGATCCAATTCGCCTAAGGGTCTGAGGATGATTGGAGTGTCGAATCGAAATCGACGACCACTTACCATCTTTTATGTATATTTACAGTATTGTCAGTAACATTATAAGTGTAAATTTATGTTTTAAGTGTTAGACTATTAGACGTATTTTCTTTTACTGTATTTACTTTCCAATTAATTAATGTAATAAGGCATATATCCAAAATGTATAAATAAGTAAGTAAAAAACTATTTGTGTCCCCATACATGCAGGCAAGACTATTTACGGGATACATACAGGCAGATTATTCAAATTTCTTAACATATTGTGTAGATGTGTCAATCAAATTGAGGTTTTTTCGTAAAAATTGGCAGCAATGTATTACGAATCTGCTTTACGGCACTAATACGTGGTCCAGATCAATCATTTTTAGAGACTCTATACTGTGACTCTTGGTGAGGTTCTGTTCTCTAATATTTTATTGTTTTCATGTTATCTAAAAGATTAGTCAGCATAATAGTTCTTTATTGGTTTTTGGTAGACATTATGCAAACGTTTAACATCGCTAATAAAGATGGAGGCGCTTATTAAGTGTTTTAAAATCTCCTCTATATAGACTTAATAAAAAAGTTAATTTTAACATTGACTGGTTTTAATTTGTGTTCCTTACCATGGTTAAAATGGCTTATAAATACTACCGACAGTTTTCTACGTTGTTCGTGATATTATTTTAACACAGGCTTACAACTCATGGCAGAGCAGCCATATTTTATTTGCTAGCGGGAAGCGTGGAGAGAGGGACATATCAACGATAGGACGCAGTTTGTATAAAGGATTAGTGAGTCGACGAAAAATTTTTACTGACCGTGAGGTGATTCATTTAGTCACGGTTTAGCTTGGAAACAGATTGTTTTGGTAGTAATGTAGGCTACAAATGAGGAAGTCTTAGGATTTATATAAAACAGTTGAGAACTTAGCGGTGCCGGTCCTTATTAGGCTATGTATCGACGGGCGGGGCTGCGCGGATGCTGATGACTAATCAAATATATATTTATAAACCTTAAGAAACATACTAAAATTTTTGTTTGTAACATTTTGCGTATTTTATTTGAAAAACAATATATAGAGGGTAAAACAAAATTGTGTACTCATAAACATAAACATAAAAAAAAAAGTTAAACGTTATTTCTCTTTGGCTATAGTTTTATAAGAAATCTTTAGTACAACAGTTGTAGATAAACTAATTATAAATAATACTAAACCAAATTTCACTACGATGGCATGCGTAGAATTTGAATTATATCGAGTAAAGTTAACAACTGAGATTTCCAGGTTTGGAGGGGGTGGGGGGGGGGGAGATTCAGGAACTTTTTGCAAAATACACGTCTTAAGTGGTTCTATCACATATAACAAACTCAGCTTTCCACTATTTAACGACGAAAAAGGCAGTTGGTGCGTTTATTGGCTGGGCTAGATGCGATGACGCAGCGCAGAGGTGTTCAACTAGCGCGCACGCGCTCACTTTGCCGACGCTCAGCTCTTCACCCGGTCACCTAGATGACTAACCAATAATATATTTGTAAACCTTGAAAAACGTACTAAAACTTTTGTTCGAACCATATTTGCGTATTATTTATATTTAAAAGTATACATAGAGAAAAACAAGATTTTGCACTCTGAAACAAAGCTTTTAACGAAGTTTAAATTTTATATCTCCCTAAGTATTGGTTTTAGAAAAATATTATAAATACAAAAGTTGTAGGAAAACTAATCAGAAATAAAATAAAACAAATTGCAGCTCGATAGCTTACATAACATTCGAATTATGATCAATTAAGTAAATCACTGCAATTTCTATGTTTGGAGGGGGGTGGGGGGGAAAGCTCAAGGGGTAGAAGTGGGGACTTTTGGGAAAATACACCTCTCATGTGGTTCTATCACATATAAAAAATCCAGCTTTCCACCATTTAGTTGCGATAAAAAACATTTATTGACTGGGCTATAAATATAACACACGCTTTCAAATTAACCTTCCTAGACATAATTTAGAATTCTATACCAAAAAACCTTCATATGCAGGCTTAAAATTTCTTCAAAAATTACCGATTTCACTTAAAAAAAAAAAATAATACAAACAGATTCAAAAGCCTACTAAAAGACTTGTTGATAAGAAACCCATTTTATTCCATCAAAGAATTTTTAAATTGTAATCTCGAAACGACCATTTGAATTCCAGATACTACCTAGTTTTACTCTGACGTAACCTTCTAAGATTTTGTGATTTTTTAAAGTTATAGCACTCATTTTTTTAATTACGTAAGCCGATTCTTTGCGTCAAAATTGTGGGGGACTCGGAAGTCGTAGAACGACGGGAGAGGGCTCAAATTAAAGGTCTCGATCCCGTGACAGCGGGAAAAATAATGAAATTCCCATCATTTAACTCAAAATTAGATATAACGTAAAATGTTCTCCATAAGAATAGCATTAAAAGGCATTTCCTACTGATTTTTGTTTACTTCAATACAGCTGATCGTGATTCATCATCAAGCCAGTAAGCAATATTACATTATTTTGGATTACTTATTTGCCAGTCAATTCTGCAATGTACTGTATACTATATAAAAGCAGAAATAACATTACCTATAATAATTAAGACTTTTTAGTTACGTCTCAGAATGTTGAAATCAATTATTTTACCGTGCAATTTGTGCGTATGATGAGTAGAAGAATCTTGGGAGATGACTCATATCAAAGGAATTGAACTTAGAATTGTTTTGCCCTTAGGGGTAGCGATAGTCGAGTTTGGTATAATTTTGTAGGTCTTGACGAAACATTACATTTAACATAAAGAAAATAGAAATCGGACATTTTTAGCTGCCATTTTGTTATTAATGGTCTGATTTCTATTTTCTTTATGTTATTTGTTATGTTTCGTCAAGACCTGTAAAATGATACCATGTAAGGTACCAAATTTTAAGGGGGGTAAAAACGTGCTGCGAATAAATTAACACCAGAACTTACCCAATTTTAATCCATAATAGCCTACTCCTAGGCCTATGTGTTGGCCATAGCTTGGGCTATGGGCCAAAGAACGTAGGCCTCTTTTTAATCACAGTGAAGTTCATACACACGTTCACCATATATATTTATCCATATTAGCACTCCACTTTGCCAAATAAAGCTAAACCGGCCAATTTTACAGATATTTATCACTGACGACGACGACACCTCAAACTGGTGTTTGTTGATTGACGATGACAGACGATAACTAGACCGAATCCCCGATCAGCTGTTGGCTAGTTTCCAAAATCACCACCGGAGCACTTAAGCCGCGGCCGAGGAAATCGGGATTTGAGCCGGACAAGATTTATTCGCTGTTTGACCACCGGCTAGCTCACTAGAAGCCTCTTTACGAACTACGAATACGACGATTTTACGATTTTACTACGAAGGTTAGCTAGCGTACTAGTTAGGCCCTTTTCACGTTTTACGTTATTTTCATTTCATGCAATTCTTAATCTATTATTCATATTCGCTGTATTAAAGTCCCGATTCGAATTGTCTAAATTTAATAACTTAACTTGAGTCCTGACCCGCCAGTTCCTGCCTGCCAGTGACTAGCGGTGGCTATCGTTTATTTAATTTTGATTAATTAGTTTCGAAATTACGATTTCTCCGTTCGCTTAACAAATAATTATCACGTCTAAATTATATCTCGTTTTCACCGTTTTAATACCTCGAGACTTGTCGTCTAAGTTCTAAACCCCTTCTTTGGCGGGTGAAAGAATCAAGTCTTGGGAGCAGCTGGTTTGAACAATCAAACAGCTACGAATATTAATATTAAATCTATTTTAAATTATCCCACGATAAATTCTCCATTCGATTATATTAATTAGGCCTGACGACTCTGTAGGAATTGCTTTTTATACTATATTCGATTTTATATTATTTACCAACATCTTTAGCCAAATAGTTTAAGGTTTAATACGAGTAGTTATATCAAATTGGCTAAGATAGAATACTCGTCGGCCCTACAGAGTCATTTTAAAAGTTAGGCAAAATTCTCCAAAACACTTTTATGAAGGCTGGGATGATATAGCTCCAACTGGGCGTCTGCCCAGTTTATTCCCCCCTAGAATTTTGCGTCACAACCAAACTCGACTATACTTGCTATTTGAAAGCTTTGAGCTACCCGCTACCCCCGATACCCCTAAGGGCAAAGTTTTCAAACCTGACCATAATTATTTTAGCTCTTCATTTCCAAACAAGTTGCCGCCAACCAATTTCAAATATCTCAAATGGTTGAAAAGTTAAGGGGGGTGCAAGTTACTTTTCAGCCACCCTGTATATATTGTATGGGTTGGTTTCTGCCTTTTTACCACATCTTGGAGATTGTACTTAGGTGTGTTGTACGTAGACAATATTCTTTGGCGTATTGCATCTGTAGACGATACTTGGGTTGGTGTTATTATTACAATGGAAAAAAGCAAGAAATTCTAGACAATTTGATACACTAAAATTAAACTTAACTAACACTGTGCTACATTTCTTGAGCAATCATTGAAAGAGCTGATTTGCAAACAATGGAAACATAGAAAAGTTATAGAACACAACCAAGTAGAAGAAATACAAATAATGTTTTTTTTTATATTAGACTTTATTTTAATTTATTTTTAGTTTCAATGTGTAAAAGTTAGTCCTTACCATAATTGACCAAAACAAAATACTTGATACAAGCTAGTGTAGCTGGGTTGGCAGAATGGTGACCAACCTAACAGAGAAACTACAATGGCCAGTAGTGTTGGCCGTACAACCTGAGAGGCACGGCGCTGCGTAAACAATGACAAGCTGACTCAGAAACAGCTGAGGCCAGCGCTGCTGGCCATTCGAGGGCAAAGGGTTAATAACACGTACGATGCTGATCAAGAAGTTTTTTTTTAAGGTTTAAATCAGACAGGAAACACAACTTACTTTGTTTGCATCAGTTCAAGTCTGTCGGGTTTCTTGAGGTGATTCTGGAAAGGAGGAGGTGTATTTGAAGACAGTAAAGGTTTCCCCTCAATGTTGAGAGGATGACTCTCAACAGTTTTAACTGGATTGTTGATGGCACTGTCAGGCTTTGTTACTTGGTCGGTACATTCTTCAGCACTCTTTTCATCTTTTGTTTTATCCTTTTTGCTAATGAGGTGGCTCTAAAAGAGAAAACCGATCATGAGTACAAGTGCTAAAAGAATGGAATTTATATTATTCATTTGAAAACAAATCAATACAGAGTACATTCTATCTTACACGTACATGTAATATATTACATTGGTATTGGTTTGTCTTGGCAATATGTATAATCAATCAGGTGATGAAAAGGAGCTCTTGGTTAATCCTATGACGTCATATCACGCCACCCAGGCCCACTTTTATAAACGGGCAGACTGGGCATATGCCCAGGGGCGCCGGTGGTTGGGGGGCGCCCGAGGGGCACCCTGAACCACCGCCCGCACACTATGAAAAATAGGGTTTTATCAGCCGGGGTTTCAAAAATAAAATGGCTGATTTCAACTTCTAGTTAAGTGATTTTCCCTTATTGCAAAAGTAAATAAATACAACTAAATTGAAAACTCGACCTTCAGGTTATACCTCGTGTAGTCAGGGAAAGGCAGGAAGCAGTGTGAACCGGGCGCACTCACTCACTATACTATCAGAGGCAGGGAGGCCTGCATGGTGGAAGGAAAATACATACTAGGTACATAGTAGGTGTGCTATTCCCATCATATGCTGACGTCACTCAGATTGCAAACACTATTTTACCATTTAGAAAAATAGTAAAACAATAACAATTAAATCAAAACAAATATATACTTATATGGCAATACATCAGCTGATTTTTTGTTTTTGGGTGACGTCAGCAAATTACGGGAATAGCATGTAGGGCAGCTGTAGTCTACAGGCCTACGGTTGACGTGCGCCCCTCCTCTCCCTCACAGTCCCACCCCCATCCCCACAAGTCCCAACACAACTACCAACTACCGCGCGGCGCCAGTCCAGTGCGAGTACAGTAGTACTCCTCCCTCAGTAGTCAGTAGGTTGTGTTCGTGTTGTGCCTGCTGCACAGTCGTCAAATCAGTCACAACACAACCTAAACTGTGACAGTCACTAGTCAGTGTTGACACTCACACTGCAGTTAGTGAACCAGTAATAAATAAATAGAGAAGTGTTGATACAAGTAAGTAGGCCTATAAAACAGTGAAAAATGCATAAAAAACCTAGTGCAGCCGAGAGCCGCAAGCGGTTGGCTCAAAGAAAACAATCTCAAGAAACAGTTTTAAAGGAAGTGAAATGTATTAACCAGTATTTCCATTGATACGGAATTGTAAAGTCCCTCCCGAAACAAAACTGGTAAAAAAACACGCTAATGTATAAATATATATATGCCATATTTTTCCCCAACACCTCATGGCCTATAGTAGAACCATGGAAAAAACATACACTCCTTAGTGGAATCTCATTCAATACGTGTGTAATACAATGAACTGCACACTGTATTGTACTGAACAATTAATCAAATCACTGCGTGCATTAAGCTATTGGCGCGGGGCAAGAGGCATTCGCATAGCAACTACTGTCAAGTTTATTGCACTCACCCCAACCCCCAACCCACCTGCAGTTAATTTCGGCGAACTGATGAGTCAACCCCCCTTCCCTCTTCCCCTCTCTACAATGCTGTGGTAAAAACCTTTATAGTTTTATATATATGTATATATAAGGGGGGGGGGGCGCTGCTTTGAGTTTGCCCAGGGCGCCACTGACCCTTAACGCGGCCCTGACGCCACCTTTTCATACGCTACCTAAATCCCCTCTCCTCTCACATCAGTCCACACCAAGTCTTAGTCAGGTAAACACTTATGTATCCATGCGGCCCTCGAGCAGTAAAATGTAACTTGTGTTATTATTCACAAGAACCTACCCCAACTCCCCTAATATAGTTCAACTGGCGACAAGGATGGGATACCTAATACAAAAAGGGTTTTCTCTGTAACATCCTTTTTTCAGCGGACCTACATAACCGATTTTTACGATTGAGATGTCATTGTAAAGCTTATGATCAAGCGGAATTATGAATGGTAGCTAAAAGGGTAATTTCCTTCAGGGCTTCTTCACCCTAGTGTTTATTCATAATAGTTGAAATGTGGACACAGTCAGATTGTAAACAAGAGACAAACATAGCCTACTTTTAAATTCTTTATAAAATATTAGTACCCTTTTGACAAGTTTAATCATGAAAAATTAGACGAAATGTGGGTAACATTTGATGTCAAAATATCCAGCCAAAATCCAAATCAAAACAAAGTAACAGAACCTCAGTTCTTAGAACTGAAAACAAAACCAACATCCGTTCAAAATACACTGAACAAACATCCTCTCCCACGGCTTTGATAGTTACTGCAACTTTGCATCCGCTCGTCAAAGATAGAGAGACAGAAGACAGTCTGCAATACTTGCTCTTTTTGACAGCAGACCATCAAGTCCACATGGACTATCTTGACCAATCAAAATCGAAAATGCTGTCTTGTCTCATTCTACCACTAATGGCCTACTTCAGTCGCCAATACCAATAATCGGGTCGCCGGAATTTTATCCCCCTGGTCAAAGCTGACGTAGTAACCTGAGCGCTCAAAAGTTTGTTCGCGGGCGCTATTTTACCCCCGCGGATTCGGAAGTCTAATGAAAATAGACAGAGAGTGATTAATTTGATTATCAATAAGAACTGGAATTTTACCCCCTGTCCATATAACTAGCGTTTAGACAACTGAAGATGTACAGGCCGGATTTTTACCCCTGGAATTTTACCCCCAGATTTTTACCAACCGGAATTTTACCGCCTGGCTGGATTTAAATTATTATTAATGATAGATTTTTTTATTTATGTTTTTATTTGATTGTAAACATATTATTATTAGATAGCCTATCATAATTTATTTATTTTGTAATCTTAACTTAGTAAACAGAATTTGCTGTTTAATTTTGATGTTCGGGATTTGCGTTGTAGCGTTATGTGTAACTGACGGTGGGGTAATGTTGGTGATCAAAGCTATGTAATGACGGTGGATGATGCAATAAGGTACTGTGAGACTAATTTAAGCGGTTTTCTGATTCTGGTTGTTGGCCCTTAGAGTACAAAGAAGATTTTGAGTTTTTTCTAGGTTTAAAAGAAGGTTATTTGAGCTGAATCACATCTTAGCTTTATCTAGAGTTTGTTCAATTGTTGATTTGAGATGGTCATAATCTGAATGGACACTTAAAAAACTAGTATCATCAGCAAATATAATAGTTGATGAGTTGGTTATATTGCTAGCAATATCATTAATTACCAGAATAAAAAGTAGTGGTCCAATCACTGAACCCTGTGGCACTCCGGTGTTCACTTCAGAACAATTTGACACATTACCACCTGCATCAACATATTGACTTCTCCCAATCAGATATGATTCAAAGAACTTGAGTTGAACACCACCGATGCCATAGTGATTAAGCTTATTTAAAAGAATTTGGTGATCAACACAATCGTAAGCCTTGCTCAGATCACAGGCATTGATCTGGGCAAGACTTCCGTTTTCAAAAGCCAAAAGGATCTCTGAGATCATTTCTTCTAGGGCATCAGTAGTAGACAACCCTTTACGGAAACCAAATTGGGAATCAGACAATAATCTATGGATATCTAAAAATTTACATATCTGAGTTTTCACTACCGCCTCTATAATTTTTCCTATGACAGGGACTAAAGATATTGGGCGGTAATTTTTCATTTGAGACTTATCACCTTTCTTGAAAATTGGGACAACTCTAGAATTTTTTGGGAATTTGGAAAGCTACCCTCAGCAAGACAACAATTGATGCAAATAACAAGTGGCGTCAAGATTGCTTGTATTACATGCTTTATAACACTTGTTGAAAGCCCGTACACATCTTTACTTTTTGAAACTTTCATTTCCGAAACAACTCTGAGCACACTTTCACTGGTCACCATTTACCACTTGAAGTCGGAGCTGGGCCTTCTCACATGTTGAAGAAAAACTGCTGGTGCCACAGGCGATGGCTGGATGTTGTTCCTCGCCTCCTTGACAGATTGAATGAAGAAGTAGTTGATATCTTCGGCAGTGATTGAAGCATCACACTCCGGTTTCTTCTGTGCTGATACCCTCCGAATTAATGTCCAGGCGGCTTGGCATTTGTTGCTTGAGTTTTTAATATATGCAGCATTAGCGTTCCGCTTAGCTTGATTTACATGAATTTTGTATTGGCTCCTAATGCGTTTGTAAGCCTCAAAAGAAGTTTGAGTTTGAATGTTCATGTAAATTGTACGGTAAGCCATAACTTCCTACTTCAACCGAGTTAACTCAGGAGAATACCATTCCTTGGTTTTTGTGGAGCTCGATGGTTTCTTCTTTTTTTTGAAGATTTAAGTGGGCAAGCTTGATTAAAAATCCCAATCATTTTAGAAAAGAATAGGTCGAACCGGTCTTCAGCAGATAAATTGTTTTGACACAACAGGTTAACCCAGTCAATATTGTACAAAAGTTCGAAGAAGTTGTCAAGAACTACTCGAGGTTGCCCCCAAGGTAAGGTTCTTTCTCCTCTCCTCTGGAATTTGGTAGCAGATGACCTTGTAAGGACCCTCAATGAAAGTGGGGTTTTTGCCTCAGGTTACGCTGATGATGTTGCAATCCTTGTGGTTGGAAAATTCCACGGAACCATAACTGACCTTATGAATAGAGCTTTAAGGGTGGTGGATCGTTGGTGTCAGGAAGTTGGGCTCTCTATTAATCCCAGGAAAGTTGTAATGGTACCCTTCACAAGAAGGAGGAAACTGGATGGGATTGGCCCACTAAGACTGCAGGGTACTGAAATAGAGCTGCAGAATCAGGTGAAGTATCTAGGTGTAATTTTGGACAGATTACTTCACTGGGGACCACATCTTCAAAAAGTTATTGAACGTGGCAAGTGGTCCCTCATGGCATGCAGGCGGATGGTAATGATAATGATAATGATAATTTATTTGCACATAACATACAAATTTGTGAAAATCACATGTACAGGTGCTTCGTCTTGTCTCTTAAAAATTGATTCTCAGTCCTTAATTATTCTAAAACATAAATTGGTTCCTAAGATGTTGATCACAGTCTTAAATTTAGTGCTACAA